ATTTATGAACATTAGCTAGAAAAGCATGCCTTCTTCCTCATCTTGCTCAGCTCAGTCTTACAGGTCCCTCCCTGTCTCCTATTTAAGTCCCGATCCTTCTAGAACTGAAAGCATCTCGGAAGGGATTAGCTGACAACCAGCAAGGCTTTCTAAGAACGACACTCTGGGGGGGCGGGGATGGAAGGTGGATGGGAGACGTTCTCCCCACTGTCTGCCACTTCCTTTTAGGTGTTTCAGCAATTAAGTGGCCTACTTGTTTCCTCCCAAGCAGATGTTCTTTCAGCCAGGAACATTTGCCAATGTTTGGAACACGCTGTCCTCAGTCCTGTATTGAACTTGACTTTGAAGCTCATTCTCAGTCATCAGACAGGCGGTCTTTCTGGGATCCAGCGACATTTCTTAGGCTCCTTGCCTCATAGAATAGCTCCCCCTAGAAACAATCTCGAGTGGTCATCTGCTCTCTCTCCCTACCACTGAGCAAGGACCCAACCGACTGCTTAGCTTGTTTGAGGACCAGAGAGGTTGTGACTTGCACAAAGTATGTAGCATTTGAACCTAGGTCTTTTTAACACCAAATCCTGTGGCATGGTGGTTAAAGTGTTGGAGATGGAGTCTGGAGGACCTGAATTCAAATCCTGCCTCCCGAATTTGCTAGCTGGGCAACCTCTCTGGGTCTCAGTTTTATCATCTGTAAAAAGAAGATAATAATGGCACCTACATCACAAAGTTGTTTGAGACTCAAATGAGATAATATGTCAAGTGCTTTGCAAAGCTTGAAGTATTAGAGAAACACTGCCTGTCGTTAGTATTATTGAATCATTGTTGGTCAGTCCTTTCACTCATGCCCAACTCTCAATGACCCCATCCAGGGTTTTCTTGGCACAGATACTGGAGTGGTTTGCCATTTCCTTTTCCAGCTCATTTTACAGATGAGGAAACTGAGGCAAGCAGGGTGAAGTGATTTGCCCCAGGTCATTCAGCTAGTAAGTGTCTGAGGCTGGACTTGAACTCAGGTCTTCCTGACTCCAGAAGCCACCTAGCTGCCCATTATTACATCATATTGCCTTGTTTTTAAGGAATCCCAGAGAAAATGGCCCTGTATCCAATCTGGCTAGCTGGTGCCAATTTTCTCCAAAATGAAAGTCTTCCTTATCTCTAGCTGAAATCCCTCATACTTCAGTTGGAACCTATGTATGGCCTTATGGATGAAGACACATCTAAACCTCGGCCAGTAGCTAAGTTAAGTAAGAAGGAGTACTATAAGAACATTCTTGGAACCAGTCACTTCCTTTCTGTGCTCAGTTTCCCCATCTGTCAAATGACAGGGTTGGAATCAACGGCCTCTAAGGTCTTAAATATCCTGTGATTTTCCCAAGTCAAAGCCCATACAACAATCATAGTCACAACCAGAATCTATTTTTCCAGGAAATGGAGATCCCAAATTTCCAAGGCAATACATTAGGCCAAGCTTCTTGGCTTCCGCTCACTCATTCAATACATATTTATTTAATAAAACACTTTCTGCCCTCCAGGAGTTTCCATCTAGCTCAGGGAGTCAGCAAGTGCCCAGAAGAGTATCTACAAATTCAGTCAATATAGATCCAAGGTAGTTTTGGCAGGGAGGACACAAGCAGCAGAGGTAGGTGGGCTGCTCGAGAAACGTTTCTTGGAAATGAGTTGTCATGTTTTTTTATTTGTTTTGGTGAGGCAGTCAGGGTTAAGTGACTTACCCAGGGTCACACAGCTAGTAAGTGTCAAGTGTCCGAGGTCACATTTGAACTCGAGTCCTCCTGACTCCACGGCCCAAGCTCTATCCACTGCGCCACCTAGCTGCCCCTTGTCATGTTCTTTATACTCAGACATTTCTTCTCTAAGACTGTAACAAAGAAGGGCTGCAATCTGCACTGGGGAGAAAGCCACTGTGCTGAGAGTCTCCCGTGCAATCATAGGTCATCATCCAGGATTCTGATTCCAACTCCTGGATTAAGGTTGGGCCTGACCACCTTGGGTTCCAGGAGAGAGGCCTGGGCTAAAACTAGACAGGAGACTGAGTTCTCTTTGGGCCATCCCCACCCACACCCAGTCAAGTGTTTCTGCATTTTTGCTCTCTTTGGAATTCTCTCCTCTCCTTCCCCTCCAACATCTGGCCCCACTCTACCCTCCAGTTTTATGTCTGACCACCACTCTCCAAGAACCATAGGGTTCAGAGCCTCAAGGGTCCTTAGAAGCCATCTAGTCTGCACCCTTCATGTTACAGAAAAGAGAATTGAGACCCTCGGTGAAAACAAAACAAAACAAAACTAGTAAATAGCCTTCTGGCTGCCAGGTGCTAGAAACACAAACATAAATACAAGAGTGAAACAGTCCCTTCAGCACAATAAATATTTATTAAGCACCTACTATGTGCCAGACACTGGGTTAAGCACTGGGGATACAGGTAAGGAAAAGAAAGACACCCTGCCTTCAAGCAGCTTACCATCTAACCAGAGACTATGACACACAAAAGGAAGCTAGAGTGTGAGAAGGGGGAATACCAGGGGATGCCCAGCATGGAGGCAACTTGTTCTGTAGAGTTGAGACCAAGCAGAATTGCTGATGGAGAGTGTAGTGAGCTAGAAATCTAACTTGTACCCTCTATAAAGGAAGGCTTTGGGAGGAGTTTAGTAGTTGAGACACGGGCGCAAATGTATACCAGGTGAGTTGGGGAAGAGCATGAACAATTGGGAAGATCAGGGAGGACTTTATTCAGTGGTACATTGGGACTTGTTTAACAACCAGCTCTTGGGGGGAAGGAATGTATAGACCACACACTTTTAAGTTTAATTTGCATTATTAACATTTTCTCTATCACTTTCTTTAAATCTAGACAATCAACAAAATAATAAATCAAACCCTGATTTGCAGTGTTTGCCGATTTCTAGCATGTAAATGCTCACACTGAAAATTTAACAATCAGCTCTTGGAAACACAGCTCTGATTTCAAGCCCGGGGGGGGGGCATTGCAATGAGCCTTAAAGGTAATTAGGAATTCTGAGGTGGTGAGAAAAGGAATGCCAAGCCTGGAAAAGAGCCAGGGCAAAGACACAGAGATGGGAGGAATAGCAGGTGAACCACAGGAGTGTGGAGGAGAGCAACGTGTCATAGGGCTGGAAAGGTAGGATAGAGCCCTGTTGTGAAGAGCTTGAAGTAGCCAACAGAGGAGTGGATCCATAATCCTGGACTCCCTCTTCTCCATACCACCGAGAGTGCCAACATTCATTATCCACTTTCAGAAGAAGTCATCTGGTTCCATTACTTCCCTTGCTCCTTCCCACAACCTTCTGAAGTGGATGATGGAAGTAGGATCTAAACTAAAATTTGAGGGTCTTTGCCCAAGGTCACCAAAGAATGAAATGATGGGCAGAGCTGGAGATGCAGCTCAGACGCCCTGCAAGTCCAGGCGACACCATCCCAAGCTGCCTCCCCTGAGTTTCATCCAATCAGTCCTAATTAGGGATCTTCTTGGTGTGCGGCGCCAAGCTAGGTGCTGGCTGAATGGATGGATGAGCACTCAGTGCCTCCAGGTGTAGGGAGTAATGCTGTTACTTGGCTAATGGACTTTTCAGAAGTGGGAAGCAGGTATTATCTGAATCGTCCCAGACTCCCAGCCTCGTGTATGCACAGGGAGGAGAGGACTGAGTGGTGGGTGCTTTACATGAGCACATTGCCCCTCATTGCTAGGAAATGTGGCCCTGACTGCCAGGCTGGGAGGAAGAAAATATATGGGAATATCGCCTTGTGGTTTTGATGGTAGTGTCTCTGTCCTAAGAAAAAAATGAAATGATTTGCCTTGCTTCAATAAATGCTCAGGAGAGGATGCCCAAGGGCTCCCAAAGGGCAGAGACTGGGACTGTCTTTAGCCTCTTCTTGTATCCCTAGCACTTGGCACAGTGCCCAGCACAGAGCAGGCACCTGATAAATGTTTACTGATCCATTGATGTGGCATCAGCACAGTGAATAGGGCAGGTTACTTTTACCTCCATTTCATGGATGGGAAAACTGAAGTACAAAGAGTTTGTTTATTGTCATACTTCAAGGAACAAGGGTTTCCTGGATGGCAGTGCTCCCTCCATGGCCCCTGAAGGCTTCAAGAGACAATCTTCACGAGTTACTGTGGCTGAAAAAATCCATCCTTGGTGCCTGCTGGTGGTGAGCCTCTCTGCCCTTACTCTAGGACAGCCACTCAGGTCTGTTGCCAGGCCTGCATCTGAACCCTTGGCAGTTGGTTAGAGCTTGAGTTCCACTGTCAGAGTCTTTGGGAACCCAGGGTCATTGCCACAGAACAATGTGACTTCAAGGAGGCTTCCCAAGGAAGCTGTCCGTGGTCACATAGCCAGGAACATATGGACAGCTCCCCTTTCCCTAGAGCCCTTGAAGGTTTCCCTCAGAACTCTGCAAGGATGTGCAGTCGGACTGAACTTTGGGGACTTTGGGGGAACCTGGGGGCTTTGGATGCAAACTACTCATCTTTAATAGAAGACAGATTATTTTACAGATGAGGCAACTGAGACCCAGAAACAGAGTCAATTTGGTGGAATAAGAGGAAGCAGTTGAACCTAGCTCCCCACTATTCCTTCTTTACACTGATCTAGAAAACGCACCAGATTCAATTCTGATCAGTGAGTCATTTTTCTAGCCCAGGGCAGCTTTATAAACTGAGGCCCAGAGGATGGAAGTAATTGCCCAGGGTCAGTAGGTCAGTCAGTTAGAAAAAGGAAAAACCTTCTGAGTCTCAAAGGAAGTCGGGGGGCTGAGGTGAGGATGAAGAGCATTCCAGGTATGGGGACAGACAGTAAGGGCGGAGTCAGGAAATAGATCATTGTGTGTAAGGAATAGCCAGGAGGTCAAACAGCGCCTGGGTGATAGGACAGGGACTGAAGCCCTGCCTGGGGCTCTCCCCACTCTGCCTCTGCTGGGAGCTGTCGCCTTTCACTCAGCCACCTGTGGTCCTCTTTCTCCAGCATCGGTGCCCTGGTAGGCCTGTCCGTAGCGGCTGTGGTCCTCCTGGCTTTCGTCATCACTGTCTGCGTACTTTGTTACCTCTTCATCAACTCCAAGCCCCCTGCCAAGCTGGACACAGGCTTAAGCTTACAGGCAGCAGGTAAGACGCTCCTGGCCGCCGTTGGCAGCGGCAGTGCAGTCTGGGGCACTGGGGAGGGGAAGGTCCCACCTATCAGCACAGGTAGGAGCTAGTGGGAGATGGGAGAAGAGAGGTAGCTCCCGTGAGAAAGTCCTTGAAACTGAGGTTGGGAAGAAATCTTCATGTCTTCTAGGAAGCACGTTCTTAGGGAACATCCTAGGAACTCTTCCAATTCTGAGAGGTTTCACCAGACTGACTGCCAAGGTGGGAGCCAGTCACAGAAAACGTAGAAAGGCTGAAAAACCCGGATCCAAACGAACAGCTGCGTTTTCAGAGAAGGAATCCTGAGCTCAAGTTGGTTCATGGGATTGTAGGTTTAGAAGTGGAAGGGACCTTAGAAAGTGTCTATTCCAACCCCGTCGTTTTCTGGATGAGGCCCAGAAAGATGAAGTAAGTGATGCGTCCGGGGTCCTGCGACTGGTTGAGTTGGAACGCACACCTCAGAATCACAGAAAACGAGAACTCCTCCGCAGCCAGCCATCCTCACCCCCACACAAGGAAGCCACAGCACCGCGCCCCTGCCACGAGTTTTCAGTCTCTGCTGGAAGGCTTCCCATCCCCCACCTCGGGAAGCAGCCCCTCCTCCAGCTCTGGGGCAGCCCCCCCCCATGGGGAGTTTGTCCACACTGCCCACCCCAGCTGACCTTTTGTAGCTTCTCCTCATTGCTGCTAGTTCTATCTAATCTGGGGCCAAGCTGACCAAGGCTGATCCTTTTTCCACATTACAGCCCTTCAGATACTTACTCCTCTTCTCCAGGTTAAATATTCCTAGTTCTCTCCCCTTCTACAATGACGACCACTCACTAGTCCTTTCACATTCTAATTGCCCTCTTCTGGATCAACTCCAGATGGTCAATGACCTTCCTAAAATGTAGTGCCCAGAACTGAACACAATACTCTAGGTGTGGCCAGACCAGGGTGGAAGACAGAGGGACTGCCACCTCTCTGTTGCTGGATACTGGACCTCTCTTTTTCTTTCTTCAGGCAATTGGGGTTCAGTGACTTGCCCAGGGTCACACAGCTAGTAAATGCCAAGTGTTTGGTCTGAGGCCGAATTTGAACTCAGGTCCTCCTAACTTTAGGACCGCTGTTCTATCCACTGCACCACCTAGCTGCCCCCTGGACTTCCCTAATACTGTCAAAGATCTCAATAACTCTTCTGGTTACCATGACACTTTGTCAAATCCTGCTGAGCTTATGGTCTATGAAAACCCCCAGATCTTTTTCACATGATGTGCCACATCTTATGTGCTTACGTTGTTGATTTTTTGAATTGAGTGTATGATTTAAGGGACGGCTAGATGGTACAATGGTTGGAGTGCTGGGCCTGGAGTCAAGAAGACTCTTCTTCCTGAGTTCAAATCCTGCCTTAAACACTTATTAGCTGTGTGACCCTAAGCAAGTCACTTAACCTTGTTTGCCTCAGTTTCCTCATCTGTAAAATGAGCTGGAGAAGGAAATCGGCAAACTACTCCAGTATCTGCCATGAGAATTTCAAAAGGGGTCACAAAGAGTCAGACGTGACTGAAAAAAAAAAAACTCAACCATGACACACAGTTTGAACCCATCTTTATGGTTATCTCTAAATTCCATTTAATTTATTTGAGCCACAATTCCACATCTTTGAGGATCATAATTCTGTCAGCAACGTGTGAGCTTTCCTTCCCAGTTCCGTGTAATCGGAAAATTTAATGAGCATGATTTCTCTGCCTTCATCCAAAATTCTGGTAAAAAAGTGTTGATGAAAACAGGGCCAAACACAAACTCCTGGGCAAGCTGGAGGAGCCAAGGGCCACCAGCGGGAGGGTGAACTATGCCCTGCGACATGCACCCCCTCCCTCCCCAAACTACCCAGGGTTTATTGTGCATGTGTTTTCTGCGTCCATCCTCAAAGAGCCAAAGCACACACACGCCCGTGGAGCAGACCAGATGCCTCCTCTGATCATCCCTGTTACATGTAGATACATTGTCTCTCCCTACAGAATATAAGCTCCTTGTAGGCAGGAACTGTTTCACCTGGGGCTTTGTATCCCCAGTGCCCAGCACTGTGCCTGGTATATTGTTGGTACCTGTTGGCTGATTGAATAACTGATCGATTGACACACAGCCTTTCTCCTAAGCTGGAAGATGCTTGAAGCCCATAGAGAGAGGTGGAAGATGAAGAAAAAGCCAAGTTATCTCTGTCTGGGAGAGACTTATCCGGAGGCAGGCTATGCAGAGGGTACATCATAGGTTTTGGAGCTGAAGGGGAGCTGAGAGGTGGAGTCCCAGGTAGTGGGTAGAGAGCTCTGGACTTGGAGTCTGCAAAGCCTAGGTGTGAATCCCATTGCACCGCCCCAGGCCAGATATGGAAATACCAACTCTAGGGGCGGGTGGGGGGTGGGGTAGTACCTGAAGTGGGAGGTCTGGAAACCAGTGGACCCTAGGAAGGTTCCTAGGTCCCATGATGGACAGGTTCAGAACTCTCCACTCCTGCTTTGAGATCCCATGGATGGAGCCTTGCCACAAATGTGTAACCTTGGCATGGGCTTTGCTGTGTTTTTCAGACCCAGACCCCCCATCTTTGGAAGAGGCCAACCAGAGTGGTGTGGAAGCTGTGGGGCCCAACAGCCTTCGAAGGCATTTCTTGAACCCCCGACTAGACTGTGACCCGCAGGCCCCAAACCCTGACCGGCTCTTTCAGAGATGCTTCATTGCTACAGTGACCACTACAGATGCCCAGGGCCTCCCCTGAGGCCTGCTCAGAGGGTGCTATGTCCCCTCTCCTCACTGCCCCCCCACAATAGCTTCTACGCTGCCAACCCTGCCCAAGGTCTACTGCTGGGCCATGGCCTCTGCTGGCCAGGTACATCCACCCCACTTGTTACCACTGTGGTTCCAATGAACTCTCCTGTTTGTCCATGTGTCCTCATGGGTGAATTTGCCTATGGGCTGCCCCAGCTGGGAGACTCTCCTGTCTGATCCCAAGGCAAAATTGTGCTGCCCCGTCTCACAGAACCACTGAATGTCAGAGTTGGAAGGGGTCGCGCTGGTCCACATGTAGCCTTAACCATACCTATAAAGGAATTCCTCTTACAGCCCATCTATCAAGTGCTTGTCCATCTCCTCCCAGCTAATAAACACATCATTATATTATGTTACAGTTTACAAAACCCTTTGCTTCCATTTCAACCTCATAGCAACCTGTTAAGATTTGCAAAGTGCGTTATAAATATTATCTCATTTGATCCTCACAATTCTGGGAGGTAGTTACTATTATTATCCCCACTTGACAGATGAGAAAACTGAGGCAGATGAAGATGAAGTGACTTCTCCATCTAGTAAGTGTTTGAGGCCAGAACATTATTATCCCCATTTCACAGATGAGGAGACTAAGGACCAGGGACATGGAGTCATTTGCCCAATGGCACACAACTAGTCAGTGCCAGGAGCAGGATCCATGCCCAGGTCTTCCTGAGCGTGAATCTAGCATTCCAGCCACCAGCCACATTGCCCAGAGCCCTGTCCACCAGGCCCCAGAACTGGGAGTCCTAGAGAATCACAAATCTTTAGAGCCTTGAATGGTTAGAACCACAGAGTTCAGTTCAATAAAGAACAGATATAAACAATCCCATCTTAGATCTGGAAGGGACCTCAGAAAGTACTGATCCAAAGCATCCACCCAATTTACAGGTGAGTAAACTAAGGCCCAGAGAAGTGACTTAAGCAAACTACACAGGGTGTTAGGAGCCAGGACTTATATATATATATATATATATATATGATATATATATATATATGTCTCTGCTGCTCATGACATTGCCTTCCACCTATTCTGTCTAAGACGTGTGTGCCCAAGTAAGGTACGCGTGTTCCCATGGGTTGTTGAACATAGATGGGTGGAACACAGGAAGCAATAAATACGTATATGTGAGGTCTGGCCTACCCTTCCCCAAAGGGAGACTACGAGACTGAGCTTCCGCCTTGAGAAGAACAAGAGAAGGGCCACCGCTGGGTGTCTGCTCCTTCCCTTCCCTATCTCCAAGAGGGGTGTGGGGCTAGACATCCCCAGATCTCTCCACTGATCTCTCCACTAGGGCGTACTCTCCAGGCCTCTCACCATGCTGGTTGCCTTCCCCTGGACACTCTCCAGGTTCCTTCCTAATGTCCTTCCTAAAACTGTGTGTCCAGAACCAAATTTAGCATGCCAGACTTGGTCTGACCAAAGCAGAACCATCAACTCCCTTCATTCTGAACACCGCGCTTCTCTTGATGTAGCAAAGGTCAACGTTAACTTTTGAGGAGCCCCGTGTCACATGCCAACTTTTAGCAAACTTGCAGGCCACAGAAACACACAGATCTTTCTCACAGACATTGTGCGTCTTTGGAAAAGCCACCCCTGCCTGGCCAACCCTTGTGACATTGGGTTTTTTTAGACCCAAACATAAGCATTTACAATGATTAAATTTCATTTTATCCCAGCCTCGAGTGCCTTTTGACCCTCTCATTCATTCTAGAGTAATTCCCGATTACAAACTGCCCCTCTCACCCAGCAACCTTGCAAGGTGGTAGTTGGGTATTATGGTTCCCATCCTACAGATGGAGACAGTGATGGAACACTGGGTATGGAGTCAGAGTCCCAGGGCCCCAGACTGCCTGAGACCCATCCGGGCAGCTTCACCGCTCCCAGTGCTTGGCTGAGATGGTGGGTTTTACCATCTACCCTACTTCTGTGCCCCCACACCCTGCTGACATCTAACCTACTGATACCAGCTAAAGACTGCTGGACCTTGCCACCCTCCCCCCAGCTGTGCCCTTACACTTTGTGACCTTTCCAGGTACCCTGAGGCTGAACTTTCTTTTCTATGCTGTCTCCCCAGTTAGAATGTGAGGTCCTTCTGAGCTGGGGCTGTCTCCCTTTTTCTGTTTGTCTCCCCAGAGCTTAGCTCAGTGTTTGGCACCTGGTGCTTTTTTTCAGTCATTCTTAGTCGCTGTGTGATCTTGGGCAAGTCACCCATCTCCCTGGGGTTCATCTGTAAAATGGGAGGACTAGATGACCTCAAAGGTCCTTCCAACCCTGTATCTATAATTCTAGGAGGAAACTGAAACTGAGTCTTCTTCAAGTAAACCACTGGTAGGAAGGGCATAGCTTGGATTTGAACTTATGTCTCCTATCTAGTGTTCTTCTCCATACATAGAGAGTGCCAGCCTTAGAGGAAGGAGCGCCTGAGTTCAAATCTGACCTCAAACACTTACTAGATGGAGAAGTCACTTCACCGCTGTCTGCCTCAGTTTCCTCATCTGTCAAATAGGGATAATAATAGCAACTACCTCCCAGAATTGTGAGGATCAGATGAGATAATATTTATAAAGCACTTGGCAAACCTTAAATCATGGTGTAACACACTATCACTGTCATTGTTGTTAGTTTTACCAGGTTTCTCCTTTGTCACAGGTATTTTCTCTTTTACATCACTTGAGGACGGTAACTGGACACTTTTTTTTCCTAAGGGAGGGGACATAAATAGGAAGCAGCTGCTCTTCCCTCTCCTCCCCCCAGGTTTAGTCCCAGTGAGGCCCCAGCTGGGAGGAGCTGTCTTCACTCTCCAGGTCAATTCCATTCAATCCATGCCCCCAGAGGAAAATGTCCATCCTTCCTTCCTAATGTCCCAGAGGGTGCCAACAAGGGCGAGCTGAGGCTGATTGGCTGCAGAGAGAGTCCCCTCTGCAGCCCAGAGACAACCCTGACTGGCCATTATTTCTGGCCACATCTCATCAGCTCTCAGCGATCTCCTGAATGTCCCAACTGAGCCTGGGGCCCTCTGGCTGAAGACTACCCCACGGCCCCTGGCAGAGAACCATGAAATCTTAGAACTGTAAGTTCTCAGAAATCACTGAATAGGATAGGATCTCACTGAATTTCAGAATTACAGCATCTTAAAGGTCAAAGGGGCATTAGGGATCATCTAATCTACTTCAACTTACAACCAGTAAACTAAAGTCCTGGCACAGGGAGAGGCACCAGGTTGGGGTCTGAATCCCTAGTTTCAAATCCAATCTCTGGCATTTATTACCTGTCTAGGATCGTATTTAGAGATGGAAGTGACCTTCGAGATCATCTGATTCAAGCTGCTCATTTGGCAGATGAGTAAACTAAGGCCCAGAGAAGGGAACAAACTTGCCCAAAGCGACAGATTCAGGATTTGAACCCAGGGCCTCCAAAAATCAAGGTCCATGCGCTGCCCACTGTATCAGGATGCCCTGGACCTCAGTTTCCTCACGTGTAAAATGAAAGGATGTGACTTGCTGATCTCCAAGGTTTCTTTTGGCTGTAAAATCTATGAGCTTTCCATCCCGACCCCGTGCACGGATCCCATCCTGCCAGGTGACTGTCCAAGATTTTAGCATCTTCTCTGGTGTGGAGAGCTCATTGCCTCTGAAGACAGATTGCCCTGGTGTTGGACAGCTCCGATGAGTCACCATTTCTCCTTTAGAAAGAGTGCATGAATATCTGCCTCCCTGTAACTTTCCCTGATTAGTCTGAGAATCCCACCTCTGCCATTTACTACTTGCGTGGCCTTGGACAAGTCCCTTAAGCTCTTTGAGCCTCAGTCTCCCCATCTGTAAAATAAGGGGGCAGGCCCTCCCAACTCGCAGTCTCTGCCCCTGTTATCCTAGCTCGACCCACTGGAACTAAACAGAGTATCAAAGTGTTGCAGAAGCCGACGGCAGCAATCCCTTAGTATGAGCTGGGGATCATGCCAGCACCTCTGGCCATCAGCCCTGACGATCTCTGTCAGGGGGAGCACGTCCTGCCCCTCCAGGGAGAACACACTGCCTCCTCTCTCCCCAGGCTCCAGAACCAATCGATTCAGCAGTCAAAGCAGAATGCTGGTGTTGTTGTAACTGTTATCGTGGGTCAGTCATTTCAGTCGTATCTGACTCTTCGTGACCCTATTTAGGATTATCTTAGCAAAAATACTGGAGTGGTTTGCCATTTCCTTCTCCAGCTCATTCCATAGATGAGGAAACTGAGGCAAACAGGGTTAAATGACTTGCCCAGGGTCACGCAGCTATTCAGACCAAATTGAGACCAAATTTGAATTCAGTTCTTTCTGACTAAGGCTAGTCGATCTATCCACTGCGCCACCTGGTGGCCCAAGAATGCTGATGCCACCATCCAAAAGCAGACTGGAAGAGCAGGCAATGTTTTCAATTCCACAACTATAGTCCACACCTCTACCATAAGAGAGGTGCTTTTTCTTTGGGACCACCTTGATCATTTCAATTACCCAGGATTTCAAAGGATCATAGAATCACAGAATTTAAGAGGTGGAGGGGACAACAGTGGTCCTCTGGCAGAGCGTGACCAGAATCAGATCTAAATGTAATTGAGAAATATTTAACATGTTTAATAAATAATGCCAATAATAATTAATGTTAATATAATCTATTATAATATATAATAAATGATAATAAAATACAATGGAACATAATGTTAATATGTGTTTTTTCTTTTTTTTTTTGTTTCTTGATCTTTTTTTTTATTAATTTGATTTATCAACAATCACTTCCATATGCTTTTGAGTTTAAAATTTTTCTCCCCCTTCCTCCCCACCACCCTCCCCAAGACGGCACCAATCTGATACAGGCTATACATTTACATTCCTATTAAACATTATTTTCACATTAGTGATGTTGTAAGTAAAAATTAAAATCAATAGGAGAGGAACCATCATAAAGATGAAACAAAACTCAACAGAAGAGAAAAAACTAGCAATTCAACTTCCATAGTTCTTTCTTTGGATGTGGACAGCATTTTCCATCACAAGGCCTCTGGAGATGTCTTAGATCCTTGTATTGCTGGGAAGGGTTAAGTTTATCAATATTAGTCATCACACAACGTGGCTATTACTGTGTACAAAGTCCTCTTGGTTCTGCTCACTTCACTCAGCATCAGACCACACAAGTCTTTCCAGGTTTTTCTGAAGTCAACCTGTTCATCATTTCTTATAGCACAATAGTATTCCATTACATTCATATACCACAACTTGCTCAGCCATTCCCCAATTGATGGGCATCCTCTCAATTTCCAATTCTTTGCCACCACAAAAAGAGCTGCTATGAATATTTTTGTACATGTGGGTCCTTTTCCCATTTGTATGATCTCTTTGGGATATAGCCCTAGAAGTGCTATTGCTGGTCAAAGGGTATGCACATTTTTATAGCCCTTTGGGCATAGTTCCAAATTGTTCTCCAAAATGGTTGGATCATTTCACAACTCCACCAACAATGTGTTAGTGTTCCAATTTTCCCACATCTTCTCCAACATTTTCATTTTCCTGTTTTGTCATGTTGGCCAATCTGATAGGTGTGATGTGGTACCTCAGAGTTGTTTTGATTTGCATTTCTCTAATCAATAATGATTTAGAGCATTTTTTCATATGACTATAGATGGCTTTAATTTCTTCATCTGAGAACTGTCTGTTCATATCCTTTGACCATTTATCAATTGGGGAATGGCTTGTATTCTTATAAATTTGTCTTAATTCTCTATATATTTTAGAAATGAGGCCCTTATCAGAGAGACTGGTTGTAAAAATTCTTTCCCAATTTTCTTACCTTCCTTCTAATCTTAGTTGCATTGGCTTTGTCTGTGCAAAAACTTTTCAATTTAATGTAATCAAAATTATCCATTTTGCTTTTCATAATGTTCTCTATCTCCTGTTTGGTCATGAATTCTTCTGTTCTCCATAGATCTGATAGGTAAACTATTCCTTGCTCTCCCAGTTTGCTTATAGTATCAGCCTTTATATCTAAATCGATATGTGTTTTTTCCTAAGTCAATATGCAGCCCACAGGGATCCTTATGTGACTCCCTCTCAAAGATCTAAAATTCTCAGCTCCTGAATTTAGAGTCCTCCATCACTGACTTCTCACCACTAAACCAACTCCCCATTTTTCACACTCAGCCCAAGAGACAGAACTTGGTTTTCTCAACCAATAACAACATATTTCCTGCATGAGGTCATCTGCCTTTCATCCAGTGGCATCAAGTCCCATGGCCCTTTCAAAATGGTTAAGGGCTTGTCCATATAGTGGGATGAAGTTATAGGAAAATGCCTTAATGCCTAGGTTCCAGGTCAATCAGTTCAGTTAAGGCGTCTTCCCTCTGTGAGTAAATTAATTGGGATGGAGGTTACAATCCACACCTCACTCTAGGTTCTCATTTTCCAAAGTAATTTACAGTTGTAATATTCTGTGTTCTAAGGCCTTCCCAGCTCAAACATTCCCTGTTCTCAGGCCCCTCCCAGCTCTGACATCCCCTGTTCTAAGGCTCCTGATATTCCAAATTCTAAGCTCCCTCTTAACTCTGAGATCCTTCTATGTTCTAATTGCCTTTAAAGCTCTGTCTATGAATACAATTTTCCATTTTCATCCAGATTTTTTATTTCATTAGGTTTAGGGAGCTCACAGTGCTTCCTCTACCCCCTCTACCAATGCAGATAAATAACTGTTCTACAACATGTGGCCTTAAAAAGCTGCCTGAGGCCTACTGAGAAGTTAAGTGACTTCTAGGACTACTCCCTCCACCCCCACTGATACCGGCAGGTTGAGTCCCTTAACAGTAGGTGCTCCTCCCTTTAGAGCCAGAGTTTTCTGGTCCTGTTATTAATGAGCTCCCATCTCATGCACTCCCTACTGATTATCAGCCAGTAGCTTCAACTGCCTTTCAGGGGAAGATCTTTACTGAAATGGCAAACAGTTGATACAAAGAACAATCCCCACCCCAAAAGTCTGAAGCACATTCTCCCACAGATATTCACTGGGACCACGGGGAGAATGGGAACAAACCCAAAGTACAAGTGAAGGTGAGGCACCTGGAGAGAGAACGCCCACGGCAAACATGGGGCTCACGGGTCGTGGCTCCTGGAGGTCCTTCTCTTCTTTCACAGAGTCCTCCTGCTGTTCCTTTCTGGCGTAGCTGTCTGTTGAGCATCCAGACCTTGAAGCATCCTGAAACTATCTTTCCCTAATGTATCTAGTCTGTCCTCAATGTGTCTCTCAGCTTCTAATGTAGATGCTGCCACCAGCCATTCCTACACCTGGGAGGCTGCTACTGTAGGCGGTGCCATAACGCACAAAGCGCCGGGCCTGGAATCAGGAAGACTCATCTTCCTGAGTTTAAATCTGGCCTCAGACACTTACGAGCTGCATGACCCTGGACAAGTCACTTTACCCTGTTTGCCTTGGTTTCCTCATCTGTAAAATGAGCTGGAGAATGGAATGGCAAACCACTCAAATGTCTTTTCCAAGAAAACCCCAAAAGGGGTCACGGAGAGCGGGAGAAGCCAATGACAAGGCAAGGCAGAGCCATAAGAATTTGTTAAGTGCCTACTGTGTGCCAGTGCTAAGTGCTAGGGATACAAGCAAAAAAGAAGATGGATCTCCTGAATTTCCACAGTTTCCCTGAAGGGGCATGGAGAGAGTGACAGATTCTCCACCTCCTCCCAGGCAGCTCCCTCTCAGGGGCGTGGCTGGTCTCTCTACTGTTAATTAATAATAACACCCCAGCTCCATTTAACTAATTAAGGTTCGACAAAGGGATATTTACTGTAAACAGACAGCCAGATCAGAAATACGAACTTGCCCCAAGTACTGGGAGGCAGACTCTGCCTTCTATCACCCCAGTCTCTGGGGAAGACAGGCTCTGAGCTCTGTACGACATCGATCCCACCAAGCCCACAACTAAATGCAGCTTCGCTTCTGGCTCCGGCCCCAGCTAACCTACAAAAGGAGCTGAGAGGTCCTGAAGGTCACTACCAGATTCTTAAGACATCAGTGCCAGACAGGCTTTAAACCGCGGCTGGGCTTTACTCCCAGACCTCTACATCCAATCTCCTTCACCTAAAGTAAAAGAACAGCCCAAAAGAAGCTACAGAATGTCTGCGCATACTTTAACGTCCGCATAGGGTTGCATCAGCTGATGCAGCTTCACGCATGTTCATGAGGACTGAGCTTATCGGCCAGTCCCATTATACACACATGAGGAAAATGGAGCCCAGAGAGGTCAGGTAACTTGCCCAGGATCACACGGGTAATAAGTGGCAAAGCCAGGGTTCAAACTCATCTCATAACACCACATTCAGTCTTCCTTCTTTTGCACCATACCGCCATAGCAGACATTAACAAAAAAACAAACCAAGTCAGAAATAAAATCACATGTAAAACTATAAATTTCTAATTATTTATGGTTTTTCAAGGAAAAATAAACTCATGTACACTCTAGCAAAGTAATAATAAATAGGGAGTTCAGGAGATTAGAACATGGACTTGGAATCAGGAAAACCTGAGTTCAAATCTGACCTCAGACACTTACTAATCACTTAACTTCTCTCAGGCTTGCTTCTTTCATCTGTCAGATGGGCAAAATAATAGCACCTACTTTCCAGGGTATTGCCAAGGATAAAATTAGGTAATATTTATAAAACACTTTGCAAATCTTCAAGCACTATATAAATGCACTTTTAAACTTAATCTGCATTACTACTATTATCTTTTTCCCCAAGTTTAACTTATTTTCAGTTCCAAATCCTCTTTCTCTACTTTTTTTTTGGTCAGTCACATGATGTATAAAAGTAAGATTTTACAAACACGCTTAAATTCAAACCAGTGTTCCTGCTTGTCAAGTAAGTCAAATGTTTGCTGACTAAGGCACTTTCTAGGCTTTTGATTTATGCCAGTGAAACACCTGTATAAAATTGTTTTAATCAGTGTCAATGTCATCTCTACCTTCAACCCATTTTTCACTATCAAGGGCTTATTAAATGGGTCAGGATTAAGTTGTTTCAATTGCATGCCATATAGTTTTCTCATTATTTTTCTTCCTTCTAGCTTCATACAAATTCTTGTCTTTGCTCTGAAGTGTCAGTGGTCTGACTGAATTCAGGACAGCTAACTCAGGCAAAACTCTCAAATCAATAATAAATCTTCTGTCTTTTAAAATTGTTATTCAGTGTTTATCATGTCCAGAACCTGCTTATTCTTTTTAAAAAAATATTCGTGTTGTATAGGCTCAAGGCTTCTAAAAGTCATTGGGAGAAGGGGTGGTGGCCCATCAGCTGGAGAAAGGCTATTCAAATCATGGTGTATGAGTGTAATGGAATACTATAGTGCTAGAAGAAATGATAAAGGAGATGGTTTCAGAAAAACCTTAGAAGACTTGTATGAATTGAGACAGAAGAAAGTGAGCAGGGTCAGGAGACCAATTTATACAATAACATTGTAAAGATAAACAACTTTGAAAAGACTTGAGAACTTTGATCAATGCAATAACTAATCACAATTCCAGAAGACTCATGATAAAGCATGCTATTCACCTCTGAACAGAGAAGTGATAGACTCAGAACGTAGATAGATAGATAGATAGATAGATAGATAGATAGATAGATAGATAGATAGATAGATGACATGGCCAATTAGGGAGTTTGTTTTGCTTAACTATGCAAATGTTACAAGGGTTTTTTTCTTTCTTTTTCAATGAGAGCGGGGAGAGAGAGAAAACAGATTTTTGTTAATCAAAATAAATTAAATTGAATTTTAAAAAATCATTGGTCTTTCTTTCCTCATGATTTCCAATAGAAATTCTTGAATCCAATAGAATTCTTACCATCTTCACCTATTCCCATCCTTGCACTGAAGATACCAAGTATTAAAGTGTATGTTGATTTAATTTGGAGGGTCTCATCAAATTCTTCATAGCCTTTCTCTGCCTTTTTGTTCTTTGCAACATATGTTGGCCCACAAGCTTCAAATATTTTCATTGTGATCTTTGCACAAATACTTAACATGAGTATTGTCATGAGATAACCAGATAACCCACAAAATGAAGTTTCTTGTTGCCTCTGGGTATCTAATTAAACCAACCTTGCCAAGCCTTTTATTTCTGTCTCCAAGGAGTACCTGGGAACCTCCTTCCATTGATCTACAACTTATTTTTTCTGGCTTTATTTATAGCAAGAATGTCAAGATAGAATTTAGTTCCCTACTTCTATTTTTTTTTAAGGCAATTGGGGTTAAGCGACTTGCCCAGGGTCACACAGCTAGTAAGTGTCAAATGTTTGGTCTGAGGCCAGATTTGGACTCAGGTCCTCCTGACTTCAGGGCCGGTGCTGTATCCACTGCACCACCTCACTGCCCCCTAGTTCCCTACTTCTAGTACTTCACTTGCTCGTTGGACATAAGAATCTCACATTTAGTGTAGTAACAGCCCAGTTAAAGTTTATACATGGTCTAAACACTATGCAAGTCTTAGCATCTCCTGCTGCCATCACTGAAGAATACGCTGTAATGTTCTTTGTTTCACGGGTTGCCATAGCTAAAGAAGTCATCACCAAGTGGCCAGCCAACTGTTGCCGACTTCTTCCTTCCATTAAAGGATAGAGAAATACCATTCCATCAGTTCCACCCAACTGGTCCCTTCACTTGAACTACCTAACACCTGCTCTCTCCATCCACCCTGTGAAGGAGCCCTAATGATGTTAACAATCCACCTGAACTCATTCAGCAACGATTAACAAACTCTTACCTGATCATACTCTCCCCTTCCCAGTGATTCTGAACCCTGGGCTGTCATTATTCAAATCTCATTCTGCATCATCCACTGCCCACTCCCTAGTCCTTCTCCACATTCCCTCCAACCTAACCCCTGGCCAATGGCCTACTCTAAAGCTACCATCCCGGGGCAACTAGGTGGCTCAGTGGATAGCGCACCAGCCCTGGATTCAGGAGGACCTGAATTCAAATCCAGCCTCAGACACATAACACTAGCTGTGTGACCCTGGGCAAGTCACTTAACCCCATTGCCTACCCAAAAAAAAAAAAGCGCTACCATCCCTTTCACTGTGCCCTCTAGAATGGCCATTCTATAAGTAACAAACTAGATTTTTATCTTAAACCTTTTCCTTTCTCACTCCTTTCATCCTCTATATCTTACTGAGACCTGTCTCCCTTTTGATGACTGACCTCCCCTTCCATCACTGGCTGGACTTTTACTCACTTCCCTCAGCTCACTGGTTGAAATGGGAGACTTGGAACACTCCTAGTTCCCCACTGCCACTTCACTCAACCCATATCTACCATATCTAGAATCAAGATTCTAGTAGCTGTTTCCTATGGATCTCTAAGACATTCCTTTCTTTTCTCAATGAGTTCAGTTTCTGGCTCACAATCTCTTTCCTCCTCAACTACTGCTTTGTACTCTCTCTCTCTTTCTCTTTCTCTCTCTCTGTACATACATACATATATATGCCATCTTGGATGGCCCTATCCCTCGATCTTGCCATTACCCACAAATGATGTTTATGAACTCTGACATTCCCTTATCTGATCATAATCTTTGTCATTCTGCCTCTCCCTCTGCCCACCCCACTCTAAATCCTGTTCTTCATCCTCACAGTGACTTTCAAGCCCTTGCCCCTCATTTCTTTTCCAGGCTATCACTCCTGCACTGGCTACACTTTCCTACATGCCCCATTTTGACCCCTCAGTGAACCAGTCCAACTCTACACTGTCCTCTTCCCCTAGTTCCCTGGCCCCCCGATCTTATCACTGATTCTGCCCTGACAAGCCTCAGCCCTGGATTACTCCTACCATCCTCTGCCTCTGCGTCTTCTCACACATTGCTGAATGAACCTGGAGACATCACAAAACCACGCTGACTGGATCCACCACCGATTTATGATACAGAATCTCAACCGGGCCTTCACTGCAGGCAATCCATCTATATTCCCTTAATTGACTTGATATCCCACTCAACACAGCAGTTCTTCCAAACCTTTTTATCCCTCCTCTACCATCTCAGCCAAAAAGCTTGCCTCATATTTCATGGGGGGGAAATTGAGGCCATTTGCCTGCTTTCTACCTTCTCCTCATCTTAAGCTATTTAGATGACTTCTACCACTATTTCTTCCTTCACCATCTCACACAAAGAGGTGGCCCTTCTCCTTGCCAAGTCACACCCCTCTACACATAGAATTGATCCCATTCAATCTCATCTTCTCCAGTAAACTGCCCCTCTTTCATTCCCACTCCCTCAATTATCTTAGCATAGTAGGTACTCAATAAATGTTTATTGACTGACAAACTGTTGCTAAGTCTGTCCACATTAGGTTGGTCCTTGGAAAGCCAATTTAGTCTGATGATTGTATAATAACTCAAAATCATTCAAGTATAGTAGAACATATAAAAAAAAATAAGGGATTATGACAATGGTAGTTAATCAGTCAACAAGCATTTATTAAGCACCTACTGCGTACCAGGTATGGTGCAAAGGGGTAGGGATGCAAAGAAAGGCCAAAAAAATAGTCCTTGTCTACAACACCCATTTCTATTAAAAACACTAGAAAGCACAGTGGAGTCCTCCTTAACATAATAAGTAGCATCTACCTAAAACCTTCAGCAAGCATTATATGTAATGGGGACAGGCCAGAAGCATTTCCAATAAGATCGGGGGTGAAACAAGGATGTCCATTATCACCACGGTTGTTCAATATGGTACTGGAAACGTTAGGTTTAGAAGTAAGAGAAGAAAAAGAAATTGAAGGCATTAGAATAGGCAAAGAAGAAACACTCTTTGCAGATGACATGATGATATACTTAGAGAATCCTAGAGAATCAAGCAAAAAACTACTTGAAATAATAAACAACTTTAGCAAAGTTGCAGGCTATAAAATAAACCCACATAAATCATTGGCATTTCTATATATTACCAACAAAGCCCAACAGCAAGAGACAGAAAGAGAAATTCCATTTAAAGTTACTGTAGACATTATAAAATATTTAGGAGCCTACCTCCCGAAACAAGCCCAGGAACTCTATGAACACAATTACAAAACACTTTCCACACAAATAAAGTCAGATCTAAATAATTGGAAAAACATCAGCTGCTCATGGGTAGGCCGAGCTAATATAATAAAAATGACAATTCTACCTAAGCTAATTTACTTATTCAGTGCCATACCAATCAAACTACCAAAAAATTATTTTATGGAGCTAGAAAAAATAATAAAAAGATTCATTTGGAAAAACAAAAGGTCCAGAATATCAAGGGAACTAATGAAAAGAAATGCAGGGGAAGGTGGCCTAGCCGTTCCAGATCTTAAATTGTATTATAAAGTAGCAATCATCAAAACTGCTTGGTACTGGCTAAGAAATAGAGTGATGGATCAGTGGAATAGGTTAGGTACACAAGACAATAGTCAATGACTATACTAATCTACTATTTGATAAATCTAAAGACCCCAACTTCTGGGATAGGAACTCACTATCTGACAAAAACTGCTGCGAAAACTGGAAAAGAGCAGGGCAGAAACGAGGCATAGACCAACATCTGACACCAGATACCAAAATAAAGTCAAAATGGGGTCATGATTTAGATATAAAGGCTGATACCATAAGCAAACTGGGAGAGCAAGGAATAGTTTACCTGTCATTTATGGAGAACAGAAGAATCTATGACCAATGGGGGGGCAGCTAGGTGGCACAGTAGATAGAGTACCAACCCTGAGGTCAGGAAGACCTTAGTTCAAATCCGGCCCCAGACCAAACACTTGACATTTACTAGCTGTGTGACCCTGGGCAAGTCACTTAACCCCAATTGCCTAAAAAAAAAAAAATCTATGACCAAACAGGAGATAGAGAACATTATGAAATACAAAATGGATAATTTTGATTACATTAAATTGAAAAGTTTTACACAAACAAAGCCAATGCAACTAAGATTAGGAAGGAAGCGGAAAACTGGGAAAGAATTTTTATAATCACTCTCTCTGATAAGGGCCTCATTTCTAAAATATGTAGAGAATTAAGACAAATTTATAAGAACACAAGCCATTCCCCAATTGATAAATGGTCAAAGGATATGAACAGACAGTTCTCAGATGAAGAAATTAAAGCCATCTATAGTCATATGAAAAAGTGCTCTAAATCACTATTGATTAGAGAAATGCAAATCAAAACAACTCTGAGGTACCACATCACATCTATCAAACTGGCCAACATGACAAAACAGGAAAATGATAAATGTCGGAGATGTGGGAAAATTGGAACACTAATGCATTGTTGGTGGAGTTGTGAAATGAACCAACCATTTTGGAGAACAATTTGGAACTATGCCCAAAGGGCTATAAAAATGTGCATACCCTTTAACCCAGCAATAGCACTTCTAGGGCTGTATCCCAAAGAGATCATACAAATGGGAAAAGGACCCACAAGTATGAAAATATGTATAGCAGCTCTTTTTGTGGTGGCAAAGAATTGGAAATTTAGGCGATGCCTATGAATTGAGGAATGGCTGAACAAGTTGTGCTATATGAATGTGATGGAATACTATTGTGCTATAAGAAATGATGAGCAGCCAGACTTCAGAAAAACCTGGGAAGACTTGCACAGACTGATCCGGAGTGAAGTGAGCAGAACCAGGAGAATGTTGTACACAGTAACAGCCACATTGTGAGATGACTAACTTTGATAGACTTGGCTCTTCTCAGCAATGCAAGGATCTAAGACATCTCCAAGTCTCATGATGGAAAATGCTATCCACATTCAAAGAAAGAACTATGGAGTTTGAATGCAGATTGAAGCATACTATTTGCTATTTTTTTTCTTCTGTTTTGTTTTGTTTCCTCTTTCTTGTGGTTCCTCCTATTGGTTCTAATTCTTCCTTACAACATCACTAATGTGAAAATATGTTTAATAGGAATGTATATGTATAGCCTATATTAGACTGCGCGCCATCTTGGGAAGGGGGGGGGAGAGAGAGAAGGAGAAAAATTTTAAACTCAAAAGCTTATGGAAGTGATTGTTGATAAATCAAAATAAATGAATAATTTTTTTTAAATGGTCCTTGACCTCAAGGAGCTCACAGTCTAATGGGGCAGACAACATGCAAACAATTAGGTCCAGACGAGAAATCTACAGGATAAATTGGAAAGAGTCTCAGGGGACGGCACTAAGATTAAGGAGCAGTAGGAAAGCCTTCTTGTAGAAGGTGGGACTTTAACTGAGACTTTAGGAAATCCAGAAAAGCCAGGAGGTAGAGATGAAGAGGGAGAGAGGGACAGCCAGCAAAAACACTCAGAGTCAGGAGATAGCATGTCTTATTCAAGGAAGAACAAAGATGGCACTCCTAACCCACTGCCAGTAGGACTAGGCCTGGCACTTCCCTTAGTTCCCATACCTTGATCATTGCCCCCTCTTCTATTGCCCTTCAAGGCTCAGCCCAAGTCTCACCTCCTCTATGAAGCTTTCCTTGACCCTCTAAGCACTTATTTGGCACCTAGCATATACGACTACCAAGAGAACCATATAGTCTCAGATTTGGAAGGAACGTCAGAAACCATGGAGACCAATTCATTTCCAAACAAGTATCCCCACTTTAACATACTCAACAAGGGCTCATTCAACCTTGGCTTGGAGACCTCCAATGAGGGAAAACCTGCCACCCCTCAAGGCAGCCCCTTCCTCTAATTGCTGCCTCTTTGTTCCTTCTATCTGTGACTCTAGGGCCAAAGAGGACAAGACGGTTCCCTCTTACACCATTCGGCCCTCCCTCCCTCCCAGTCTTCTCATCTCCAGGCCAAATGTTGCCATTTCCATCATTAAGCCCTGATGAGGCATGAACTCAAAGGCCTTCACTGAGGCCCTCCTCCAGATGCCCTCCACCTTATGAATGTCCAATGTAGTCCTTCAAAAGCAGTCAGACATTTGTTGTCGCAGTCTACCCATCCAGATTGGCACCATCCCTGTGACTAATTTTGTTTGTCTGTTTTTTGTTTTTTGCTAGGCAATGGGGTTAAGTGACTTGCCAGGGTCACACAGCTACTAAGTGTTATGTGTCTGAGTCCAGATTTGAACTCAGGTCCTCCTGAATCCAGGGCCAGTGCGCTATCCACTGCACCACCTAGCTGCCCCCCTGTGACTGGTTTTAGAGAGAGGCCTGGGGCACTAATAATGATAATAATAACAATAAGCACACACACACATATGTACATATATAGCTCTCTGAGGTCTGTTAAGTGCTTTACATATACGTATGTTCACACATACATGTGTCTATATGTGAATATATGTGTATATGTATAAAATCTCATTTTATCCTTACAACAGCCCCGGGAGCTATTACAGACAAGAAATTGGGGCAGACAGAGGTTAAGTGACTTGTCAAGGGTCACCCCGCTAGTAAGTGTCTAAGGCCAGGTCTGAACCTTCCTGCCTTCAGGTCCAACACTCTGCACTGCACCACCTAGCTCTCCCTTCTAAGTAGGTAGTAAAACAGAAATCAGAGAAGAGATACATTGAAGAATACATACCAGCCGATACAAAAGTGCAGGAACTCTCCCATTGGGAGCAAGGTAACTCAGCTCAACCAAGAGTAAAAGTCCCAGATCTCACCCACGGAAAAGTTCTCCCAAGTCTCTAGTGTCATAAGCTGGGACGAGGGATGTGATGGAGACTCATGTTGGCTTCTTCCCAGAGTCCTTTCCCTTCAGCAACCTGAAGCGGAATGGGCGTCTTCATCTTCTCCCTAGAAGCTGGGAGTCAGGAGCATCTGCAGTAACTGCAAAGCCCAAAGAAAACTCAGAGAAACTCAAAGAAAGTCTGGGGAAAGTCTGAAAAGGCTGGAGCTCTCCTTTCTGTCTCTCTATCTCTCTGTCTGTCTCGCTGACTATCTTTTTCTCTGTGTCTCTGTCTTTCTGTCCCTGTCCCCCTCTCTCTGTCTCTCTTCATGAAGGCACAGGGCACCGATCTCCATCAACGAGGAGAGAGTCCCATACCAATGGGTTTGGGGCCTAATGTTACCTAGATCTAGCTTGGAGATAGTTGAGGGAAGACATGATCCTTCTCCTGTTCCTCTCAAGGTAGAAATCACAGTCCTCCTTGGAGAGCAATGGGTCATATTCCAGAGACATCCCTCCATTCCACCCATGTATCCAGTTGTAACTAACATGGACATACATATCTTACAGAACTAAAAAGAACCACTTGACAGACCTTTTCTCTTGAGGGTTATCACTAGTTTCTTCTCCCTGAAGGGCAGAGACAAGCTGGAAATAGGTCGTCTGCTATGAAGGCCAACCAAAGAGGAAATGGAAGCCCAGGCCAGGAGAGTGATGGGCCCACTTGGTCATGCAGTGAGAGAGAGGTATAGAAGAGATAAGACCAGTTGAGTTGGGGTGCAGAGTATGGGAGGAGGGTGATACCCAATGAGGCTACACTGATAGGTTGGGGTCAAGTCATGTAGGGAGTTTCTGCTTTATGTTAGAGGCAATAGAAGGAGGCTGAATAGGGAATCACATGGTCAGATCAGAGCTATAAAGTTTACTTTGGTAGCAGAGTGGAGGATGGACTGGAGTGGAAAGAATCTTGAGGCAGGGAGACCCATGAGGAGGCTGTTGCAATAATCTAGGCTATGAGTGATAAGGGCCTGAACCAAGATGGTGGCTATGTGAGTGGACAGAAAGGGTCAGGTGGGAGAGAGGTTGCGAAGGCAGAAATGGCAAGGTTTGGCAGCTGACTATGTATGTTATTGTTGTTGTTATAGTTTGTCCACTGTTCTCGAAGAGGAGCTTGACATCAGGGAGGTGATGCCATGACATGCAAGTGAATTAGACTTAAGTGAGGGAGGACTGGGCAAAGTCACCAGCCTCACTTTCTCCTCCAGACTGTATGTGTAGGCTGAGGAAGAGTGAGGGGTCAAGGATAAAGCCAAGATCATTAATCTGCGAGATTGGTGGTACCAGCAACAGAAATAAACAAGTTTGGAAGAGGGGAAGGTTTATAGGGAAAGATAACAAGTTCAGTTCTACATATGATGAGTCTGAGGTGTTTCTGGGACACCAGCTTAAAATGTCCAATAGGCAATCAGTGATCCAAGACTGAAGCTCTCAGGGGAAAATGGTGCTAGATCTGGGAGTTATGGGCACAAAGTTGACAGGTAAAGAAACTCGTGAGAGTTAACAAGGCCACTGAGAGAGTTTGGATGGATGGAAAAGGAGGACCTAACATAGAATCCTGGAGAAGACCCACAGTTAAAGGGTGGAATGTGCATAAAGTGCTGGCAAAGGCAACTGAGAAGAAGTGGTCAGGTAAATCAGAGGGGAACCAGGAGATAGTAGTGTCTTTAAAAAAAAAATGGAGAGAGGATTCAGGTGGAGAGGGTGGTCTACAATGCCAAATGCAGCAGATAGGCTAAGAAGTATGAGAACTGGCCAAAGACCATCAGACTTAGCTCTTAAAGATCATCTGTTCCTCCCTACCTATGTGGTAGAGGTCAATACTTCCATGGCCTCTATTTCCTCATCCATAAGAATGATAGTTAGACTAGAAGGCATTTAAGAGCTTTGAAACTGAAGTCCCAACAGTTCCCACAAAGCCATCCAGCCCCCCCAGGTCTCAGGCTGCCTGTCCAAGTGCCATTTGATGAGATGGAGAATGATTTCAATAGACAGTGCTTCAGGGGAGAGGGAGGGCCTGCTTTATCCACTACTGGGCCTCCCTTCCCCCTTCCCCTTCCCCTAGAGCTACCAGGAAAATATCTTCCTGCTCTCAGAGTCAATTATCCCCTCTAGATGGAATTGATTGAAATGGGCTTAAATGGGCTGATAATTGGAGGACCCCAGTAGAGTGTCTGAGGGCAATCAGACTGTTACCCATCAAACACAAGGAACCCCAGTGCTAAACAGCCTGTGCTCATTAGCACATTAATTAGCACAGTAACTCTGGGGTCTGGGACCTAGGGAAAACATGCCCCTCTGCCCATGCCCTTCATCAGGGGAGGCAGAAGCTGGCACCTGATAGATGGTGTCCTTCAAGGCCTAGCTCACACGCTGCCACCTCCTCCATGAAGGTTCCTCCCAGAAGGGAAGAGATCTCACCCACCTTTTAATTTTCTGCCCCAGAACCTTGTTGATGTTTCTCTTTTAGAGTCATTGTGAGGGTAAGATGAGATGACAGATATGTTAGCTATTGTCATTATTAGATCAGCCGAGATAGTCTTTGAAAAGCACTTAGCACAGTGCCTGGTACATGGCTGGCCAAGTTTGATAAATGTTCCCTTCCTCCTTCCCTTCTGGCATGTATTCCATTCTTCCTCATAGGACCCTAGAATCTTCAGAGCTGCTCAGGCAACTTGCCCAATCCCTTACCCTATGAAAGACACCCTTTTATAGCATCTAGGATAAAGGCTCACCCCATTCTGCCTCTAAGAACGGAGGTATCATTGCATCCTAAGATGGCCCATCCCATTACTGGACAACTCCAATTTTTAGGAAAGTTCTTCCTTATATTGAATTGAAAAAAGTGAGCACACACATCACTCAGAAAAGGAGTTGTTGCCAAATCCCTGGACTCTGCTGGCTGTTGCCTACTGAACTCCAGGACATGTCTTTCTTTCCTCTATGAGTTCTGCACTTGATTCAGTCAGTCAGTCAATAAACATTCATTAAACACCTACTCCTAGGTGCTAAACATTGGAGACAAAAAGAAAGGCAACAGATAATCTCTGCTCTTGAAAAGTTCAGTCGCATGGGGGAAACCGCATGCAAACAACTCTGTACAAACAAGTTATATTCAGGATAAATAGGAAATAATCAACAGAGGGAAGGCACTTGAATTAAGGGGAAGAAAAAAAGGCTTCTAGTAGATGGAGGGATTGTGACTAGGACTTGAAGGAAGTCAGGGAAGCCAGAAGGCAGAGAGCATTTGGTCTTTCTCTCCTTCCCATCTCCCCAATTTTCATTTTTTTTTCCCATAGTAGGAAGGAGACTTTAATATAAAAAGTGATACTCCCTCAAACACTCTTACCTCCTAGTTCCTTGATTTGCTCATTTCCCAGGACTGACACCTCCACTCCACTTCAGCCACACAAAGAAATGGTCATATCCTTAGTACCAACATCACCCACAGTGCACCACTTCCATGTTCAAGAACTCTGGAATTCCTTGATCTGATGATGGTCTGTTGTCACTCCACCTCTTCCTCAGTCTTACTACATTGAGCTGGGGAGTGGGGGAAGAGGAGAAGGGAAAGGAAGATTAGGGAAAACCATCTCACATAATGGAGCACAAGTTGACTGTACTCTTTAACAGCAACAAATAAACACACACAAAGAAGAGGGGGTGGAGGGGAGCTGCTGGTCCTTGAACTTCACTTGTCTGAACTGGTCAAAGGAAGGAAGAACACAACCCCACTGATTTGGGTGCAGAAACATATCTCCCTTAATAGGGAAAGAAGAGAAAAGGGAAAGGAGGAATTAGAGGAAGGGTAGATTAAGGAAGAGATTAGTTCTAAGCAAAATAAACTCTAAGGATATACAAAAATATCAATAGCTCTTTTAAGATGATAAAGAATGTGAATCTGTCCATAAATTAGGGAATTGTTAAATTATTGGTATAAAAATGTGACGGAATACTATTTGCTACAAGAAATTATGAATTCAGATAGTTTCCAAAAGACCTAGGAAGACTTTTATGAACTGATGCATAGTGAAATGATCAGAACCAGGAGAACAATTTATACAGTGACAACAATATGATAAAAACAAACAACTTTGAAGGACTGAGAAATTCTGATCAGTATAATTGCTAATCACAACTCCACAGGACTAATGATGAAATGCGTAACTCACCTCTTGGTAGAGAGGTAAAGGTCTTATAGCACAAAACGGGACAAATATTTTTTGGACGTGGCCAATATAGAAAGTTGTTTTGCTTGACCATATATGTATATAACAGGGGTTTCGTTCATCTTTCATTACCAATAAAGGAAGGGTTGGAGTGGAAAGTAGATTTTGATAATTTAAACATATTTTTTCCAAAATAAAAAATAAAGTTAAAAAAAATACATTCTAGAACTTTTCCAGGAATCCAACTCCATTTTAAAAATCAGGACTTTTGATCCCCACAACAGCCCTGTGAGGTAGGTATTGTTATTATTCCCATTTTGCAGTTGAGGAAACTGAGGCACACAGAGGTATAGTGATTTGCCCAGGGTCACACAACTAGTAAGTGTTTGAATTCAGGTCTTCCTGACTCCAGATACAGGGCTCAGTCTTCTGTTATACCTTACTGCCTAGGTGTCTTTTGTTTGCCTTTCGATTCTGGTTCAGCAGCCAACCAAAATAGTCTTTTTTTTTCATCATACTGTAAGCAGACCAGAAACATAATACTTACACATGCTCTGAAGTTGAAGAGCAGGACCTTTTCATTCTTCATGCCCGTTCTCCACATGGGTATGCTGCAGGCAGAGCTTTGAGGATGGGACTCCCATTTACCAATCCCCCATTACATCACAAAGAGATGTAAAGGAGTATCTGGCATATATAAGGTTGAAATCAAGATAAATGAAGAAAGAATCAAAGATAAACATGAGATAAGACAACATAGAAAAGATGATGGAAAATATTAATGAAGTAACAGAAATTCTGAGAATTAAAGTAACTCAGGCAGAACAAAAAAGTGGCATCACAAGAACAAACAACAGAACAAAATTAGAAATGGCAAACCAAAATACAGAAGAGGGAGAGGCCAGAGTTTGGTGAAGCAATCTGAGAATTACTGGTCTCCCAGAAAAATACTAAGGAACAAAGACTGTGAATACCGTATTCCAGGAAATCACACAAGAAAATTGCCTGAAGGTATTAGAAACAGAGAGCAGAGCAATTCAATAGAATACAGAGGGTTATGATAAAGAGGAGTCCTAAGTTGACCTCTGCCAAGTTCTTATCAAAGAGAGAATCTTGCAAGCAGCTGAGAGGAAGCAATTCAAATATTAACAAGCACCCCATCAGACTCAACAAAACTCTTCCCAAGATGTGGCAAGATTTAAAAATGACAAAGATGGGGGGCAGCTAGGTGGCGCAGTGGATACAGCACCGGCCCTGAAGTCAGGAGGACCTCAGTTCAAATCCAGCCTCAGACCAAACACTTGACCCTTACTAGCTGTGTGACCCTAGGCAAGTCACTTAACCCTAATTGCCTAAAAAAAAAAAAGATGAAGATGGCAAAAGCACCAACTGGTAAATGTTGGAGAGGCTGTGAGAAGACAAGAGTAATTCATTGTTGGTGGAGCCGTGGATCAGTACAACCATCTTAGAAAACAATTTGGAACTATACTACTAAAAAGATAATTAAATTGAAAGTACCCTTTGATCCAGTAATGGGTGTGTACCCCAAAGAGGTCAAAGACAGAAGGAAAGATCCCATAGAGACAAGGACATTTACAGCGGCACTTTCTGTAGAAGCAAACAATTAGAACCATAGGGCGCCCATCGGTTGTCTAACGTAACGGTATCATTGTGCTGTTAGAAACGATAAAAAATGAAAAATTCTTTGAAATAAAAGTATGAACTGATGCTGAAGAAAATAACTAAGAAAATGACCACAATGAAAGCATCAGTGATGGGGCTGGGATCTGGACCCCAGAAAGGAAAAACCCTGGACTTTCCCACATGGCCACATCTCGGGTGTTCGCCTGAGACTATAATCCCATCAACTGGCCTTTCATTGTGGCTACACCCAATCTCCCCTCCATTGTCTTACCTCCCTATGGCCCCTGGCCATTTCCCACCCTTAATCTTAGCTAGGCTCCATTCTCTCTTGGCCAGGTCCAGGTCCCAGGAATTCTGTCCACCCCAGCTTACTGGCCACTCCTAGATCCCTCCCACAGGCTTTCTGTATATAAGGTCCATCTTGTCTCCATTAAGATGCTTAGATTCTTATAATCTAGCCATTGCTGGGAATTTTACAATCTAGCCACGGCTCAGATTCTTATGATTTAGCCATTGCTCAGATTCCTAAAATCTAGCCACTGGTCAGATTCTTATAATCTAGTCAATAGTTTACCCATGCTCAGACTCCTTAAGAGTCTGCCCAATATGATCGATGTTCTAATAAATCTTGTCTTCGGCTGAAAGAAGGCGTGGGTCAAATTCTTTTGCACAGGACCCGTGCATTGTGACTTTGGGGCCCCAGCACCCCTGAACCCCTAAACTGCATCATCAGGACAGGCACTGGTCAATGCAATGGCCAGTCTTGACCTCAGAGGACAGATGGTGAAACCTATAACCCTTCATCTTGGCAGGGTGTGGAATAGGCGTGAAATGAGGCATCTGTTACCAGACAGGGCCAATGGGTTGGCCGGGCCTTTGACATGCAAACTGATAAAGCCAAGAGGGCAGGAATACACCAAAGGGACTCAGTGTTTACTTGCTCTGAGAAGGTAAGAAGTCACTCTCAAGTCTCAGGTAGCAAGGGAGCATTGAAAACACAAAGAGATATTTGTGGAAAGAAATTCTTAAAAAGGAAATAGAGGAGGACAGAGGAAGAGGGCAAGAAATAAAGTGATTTTTTTCTTAAAATTGGGCACCACAGTCAAACAAAGGGATGAGGAGAAGGGCCAGTAATTCTTTTTTTTTTCTTGGTGAGGCCATCAAAGTTAAGTGACTTGCCCAAGGTCACACAGCTAGTGAGTGTCAAGCGTATGGGGCCAGATTTGAACTCAGGTCCTCCTGACTCCAAGGCCAGAGCTCTATCCACTGCAACCCCTAGCTGCCCCAGCACCAGTAATTCTTAAATCCCACTCTCATATGACAGGGAGAATAAATTCTACCAACCTCAGGTTCCATATTTAGTGTGAACAGGACAAGAAGGAAGACAAGCGATCAAGACAGACTACTACAAAGTTGTCGTTCAGTCATTTTCAGTCCCGTCCAACTCTCTATGACCCCATCTGGAGTTTTATTGGCAAAGATACGAGAGTGGTTTGCCATTTCCTTCACCAGTTCATTTGACAGAAGAGGAAACTGAGGACAACAGGGTGAAGTGACTTGCCCAAGGTCACACAGCTAGTAAGTGTCTGAGGTTGGATTTGAACTCAGAAAGAAGAGCCTTCCTGACTCCAGGCCCAGCACTCTATCTGCTGTGCCACCTAACTGCCCAACCAGTAATGGGTGTGTAAAAGCTTTATTTAACGCTTTAGCTATGCGACCATGGATAAATCACTTCACCTTTCTGAGTCTCAGTCTCTTCATCTATAAAATGGGCACAATAATACTCTAGTACCTAGCTTGTTGGGTTGTTTCACGGTTCAAATGAGGTAATATACCAACTGTCCCCAAAGATCTTTAATATTTTAAAACTACACTAAGACGTTAGGTACACCTTGTATACCTAAAGCACTTTGAAAATTATAAAGCCCTATATAAATGTCAGCCCTTGTTTTCTTTCTTATTAACCATCTTAGCCTTTTCAACTTTTTTATGGGGTTCAGAAAGAAACAGAACAAGGACAAGTCGATATTCTGTGGCAGCAGGTCCTCCAGCATCACTGCCATACCTCAACTCAACACCTAGAGGCGGGGTCCCCAGAAGGCAGCTGCTACTCATCCCCTGTGGACCGGAGGAGATTATGGAATGTTAGGTATCAATATTATTGAATATTATGTATCAATATTATATTATTAATTGTATTGTTGGCACATTGTCTTCTGCATTAGACTCTGAGCTCTCAAAGCAGGGACTCTTTTTTTTTTTTGCCTTTCTCTGTAGCCTTTGCTTAGCATGGTGCCTGGCACACAGTAGGTGGTTTAATAAATGCTTGTTGCCTTGACTTGGGCAGAGGTGGTTCTAGTAATATCAATTACAAGCCCCTATCAGCATATTTCTCTCAATGATTATCCGCTGATATCAGTCAGCCAGACTTAACTAGTTTTTAGAAGCCAGTATTTACTAAAATGCTATAGTCAGACTATTTAGTACAAACATCCCCCAGAACTGGAGGTTCATTCTGCCACAAGTCCATACAAGCGAGTTCAAGTTTAGATTGTATAAAACAAAAGAGGATATCCACAGCTCCTGGTTACGGAAGGTTTTTTTTTTCTCCCCTTCATACACATGAAACTCTCCTTAGCCACGGTGGGGATGCCTGCGAGGATCTTCTGGGATTCTTGCAGGGTCCTGAGCATGCCTTTCCTCAATGTGCCTAATTTGTAGTTGGATCCTAAGGCAAACCCTGCCACCAGCTGCTGATGTCCTAAGATAAGAAGTCCCAGTCCTCCGGATGTCCAAAGTTTACCATTGCGGTTATCTTCCAGTCAAGGTGAGGAGAGGGGGCAGGGAATACAAAGGCTCTTCTTCTCCTCTCCAAGCGATTCACTCACAGGGGTTTGGGCTAGCACAGCTCTCTCCTCTAAGCTGATAGACACTCCAATGTTCGGGTTCCAAACTGGCTTGCTATTTTACCTAAGAGCCAAAGGAAGTGACTGAGGCTTATTAATCAATACCAAGATGCTTCCTGTCCAGCATCACTTCATTTTATCCCCTAGTCTTCATTCCTTTCAAATTGATGAAGTGGGCTGCTCAAACATAGTCTGACCCTTAGGTTAATTGAGCAATGGATTAAATAGGCACATTACCACCTGATTAAGGTAGTTACTGTAAGTGGAATGGGATGCTTGACTGATTGACTGGATCCATTCCTATCCTTATATTGCTATTTTTCATTTATATTTTATATTATGTGGTATATTATTCAGGAGAATAAAAGGGTTCTCATTGGTGAAAGTTCCCCCACCTGTCCCGAGCCAGTCCCAAACTGAACCATTTCATTTTTTTCATCCTTGCTGTTTTTCTAACCTGCCGCAATACATGTGTCTTACCTCCACTTGCCATCTCTCGCCGTAGAAATTAAAATCAAACCAATGCTACATCGCTTCTAGAAAGGGGCATGTCAATCGAGAACCCACCATCTCTGAGACTTTCCAGACCACAACTCCCTTCCCTGGCCACCACTCCCCTATATGTGTTATCTTCCCCATTAGAATGTAAGCTCTTTGAGGGCAAGGAATGGCTTGCAATAATTTTTCATTCATTCATTCACATAAGGTCATCTCTTACAGACTTTGCTGAAAGCATCTTCAAAACAACTCCAATAGCAATCAGAATGCTAGCTGTGGCATATATCTCATCCTATTCCCATGTGGTTTTAATTTCTTCTGCTCGATCTCTATATTTAAATTTTTTTTCATTTCATGTGGTTTAGATATCATGAATATTCAGTATGGTGACACCTCTTAAAATGCTGTTCCTAAATTTGTAGGTGTCGGTACTATGTCCAGGAAATTACTAACCACAATTCTGTTTATAGGAATGTTTTGGTCCCAGGACATTTTATTCACTGAATTCTCAAAGATATTTGGAGCAGGGGGTGGGTAGATTTGTAGGACAGGGGATTTGTCATCTGTTAGTTTATCAAGGATGGAGAGCTCCTGATGTATAATTCTAGCCACTCCACTGTGCCTTTCCAATCGATGCTAAATTTGTGCAGCCTGCTATCACTTAGTATATAGTTGTCACCACTTCATTGTGTAATCTGTAAATCTGCACCAATCAATAAGTCTGGGTTCCTTAAAAACAACATTTCTACCATTTCTGGTGGCAACGTCTGATCCAGAATTGTTACCTAACTGCCCACCCCCACCCCCATTTCCATCCACAAATCTGCACGACTCAGCCATTTATTCAACATTTCTTTGTTGGCCGAATGTTGGTTGAATTCATGTGGATGTCACCTATGGAGCACTGTTTGAGTTGATTCTTCTCTTGGTGTTTCATAAGCTTTGTCAAGAAAAAACACTTCTTCAAGCTACATTCCGCAAATCCAGGGCTGTTATCAGTCCTTACCATTTCTTTGGAAAGAGAGGTCTCTTTATTCCTATAGAACTTCTGTAAACTTTTAACCTGATTATCCTGTGGCCTGAGAAGATCAATCAACCCTCCCCTTACTTTCTGAAGAGGAAATATTCATCTTTCTATAATGCTTTCAGCCAATATCTCCTCCTTCACCCCTGTCTCACATGAAGAGGCAGCCTCCTCCCTTACCAA